TTGGTCACACTGCAGCTGATATGCTACTCGCAGCATAATTATTACCGACAGCCAAGTTTTGCTAATGACATTGCGGCTGATGTGCTACTGCGGCGCAATTATAATCGACAGCCAATTTTGTTCTGCACGTGGTGCCGTGTCACACATGAAGCACCAATGCTCTGATATACTCCACGCCCCCTTAGCGAATATATCAGAGCATCGCTGCTCCACGACTGCGCCGGCCCCGGATTGTCGTATTGAAGGCGGTAGTAAAGTTACAGTATGCTGAAGAGCTATTTTTATTTTATTCTATCGCGGTGTGAGCGCAGCTTAGTCATATTTTTTTGTACAATTGACTGGTTTAAAATTATTTTTGCTGGTGCGGATATACGCCCTCTTTGTGTTTGCGAACTAGCAGTGAAATTTGTGTGTTGGGTTGTCTGCGCTTGTAAGAAACACGACGTCAAGCTGCTGTTAAGCAGAAGACAAAGCACGTCAGCAACCATTTTAAGAAGAAGCAGCGAGGCCTGCTGATGCTGAAAAAAAGAACAGAGAAACAGCTTCTGAAAGAAGTGAATATATAAGCTGAGGGCTCAAAATACCAAGGTATTTAGAAAGAATAAGCCTACCGGAAAATGCCCTTCGCAGCAAAAATTTCCAAACAGGTTTATCATTACTTCATAAGCTGTTGTAACGCACTGCTGCTAGGGTTGTATGCATCAGCAAGTTGCCCTATTCTTATAGCGTGCAATTTTGCTGAAAATCAGAATGCAATGTAAGCTCATGGGTGGCAGGGATGCATGCATGTTTTTCTAATCACTTGTAAATGTGCTTTTACAACTTTCACAGTGTGGTGGATATTAAAAAGAACACCACTTGGTCAAGATTTCTTGAGCCCTACTACGGCATCCCCTATATCACACCATGGTTTCGAGACGTGACATGCAACGTATCATTACACTTTAATTGCATATCTCAACTGCATGCTATGTTTATCATATATATTGTTTGACCATGCACACCTAGGATGCTATCATGACAAATAAGGGTGCAAATTAATTTATTTCTGCACACTCTACTTTTTCATTGCAGCAAAGAACCTTCTCCTTTGCGGGTGTTGCAGCTGCAAGCCTCAAAAACAGAAACGACTTGCACCTTTGCCACCACTATGTGCTGCCACGCTGGCGCCACCACAGCGACCACAGACAGCCCTGAAGTAGCCCACTCAAGTGTGAGGGAGGCTGCACCACTTATCAATTATGTGCCCACTGACAGAGAGGTATCATAAAACTCTAGTATGCTTTGTCTTGAAGGTATATTGCTTTGCTTTAATGAGAAAATGTGCATTGACAAACTGATGTGTGCACATCATCTTTGACTTGTTTTATAGGTGCATCAGGGCAAAGGAATTGCCGTTCCCAAGAGGTTGTACAATCACCTCATGGGCTTGAAATGAGAGACCCGTTTTGTTCGTGAGGCGGCCGTTGCCATTTTTTATACAGCAGGCCTAGTCAGTAGAAGTGTTACTGGCGCAGCCTCCAATCGGTCTAGAGGGGAGGCGAAATCTCCCTTGGAGAAAGAAACATATGCTGTGTTTTCAGGTAGACGAAATTTTGCAATCTGACCAAAATTCTTGAAAGTTGGTGGCTCCATTTTTGCACATAATCAGTCGAGGTTTCACTACCAACTTGTGTTATAATTACTTACTAAAGCATCAAGCCTAGCTTTTGCCTACTGGAGCTGGGTACTTTTATGCAAAAATCCATAAACTAATTTTAAACAATAATAGAGAGGCAGACTGGTAGCACTCCTACTTATTTCCTTGTCATATTGACACCTCTATTTAGAGTGCACATAATTGTCGCTTAATAAGTGCCCATAACTTGCTTTGTTTTTGATCACGTAGATTTCTTCAACCATTTTTTTTGAAGCACACCGTTCTGATTGGAGAGGTTGAGCAAACGAAGAAGCTCCTCAATAAAGCTTTGGCAAGCAAAATTAATGACTTGATGAAATCAAAAGATTAACAAAGGAATGGCACATCAAATAAAATATTTTGTTTGATTTCCGTGTTCATACTTGTGTCCTGCTTGCTCTGATGTAGCGGCACACCTGCCAGTTGGCTAAGCACCGAATCGCTTGTGGGCCTATCAGAGTAGAATGCTACACTTATAGGCTGGTACACCAGTACTGGTACACTGATAGACTGATACACTGATAGACTGATACACTCGTAAACTGATACACCTATAGACTGAAACACCTATACACTGATACAACTGTCAATAACCTGATAGCCTATCAGTTTTTCTATCAGAATTTTTGCTAGGGTTCGTTCTCTGTGTCGGAGTTGTCGAAATCCTCCGCAACTTGACAAATGATTTCATCATCAGTCAAGTACGCACATAGCTCAAGGTCTTCGTCAGCATGCGCAAAGCCCTCAAGAATTATCCCGGCTGGAGTCAACACGCCGGCAGCGTGCAGATCGTCGAAGGCAACATCCGCGGATGGCAGTACGTCACACACGGTGTCCACTTGGGGTGAGACGGCCGTCTCGGCGTCAAGAGTGAAGCCCACGTGGCGAAAACAGTTCCGCAGAGTCTCTTGCATAACCGCCTTCCACGATTCCGCTAACATGCTGACGATAGACCTGAGGCCAACAGCGTAGCTTTTCTCATTGTCGGAACAGAGCACCAAGCGGCTGAGCATTCATTATTTGTAATGATGCTTCAAGTTCCGAATCACACCTTGGTCCATCGGCTGCACGATTGCTGTGGTGTTCGGCAGCAGAAATTCAATCAGTATAGCCTTTAGCTCTTCGATGTGGCCACGCGCGGCACAGTTATCGACAAACAGCAGAACTCTTCGATTTTGCTGCTCGAACCTTCTGTCCAGCTTGTGCACATACGCTTCGAATAACTGCTGTGTTACCCACGCCTTCTTGTTAGCTTCGTAGAGAACAGGCAGAGTCACTGCCCCCCTTGAAACATCTTGGATCCGTCAACTTCCCTATCACAAGCAACGGAAGCTTCTTGCTACCTGACATGTGGCTACCAACGACAACAGTGAGCCGCTCCTAGCTGTGCTTGCCGCTGTGGCAGAGGTCACCAGCAAATGCAAGTGTTTTCTCTGGCAGCAGCTTGTAGAACAGTCCAATTTCGTCGCAGTTCAGAATATCAATAGGTGGAAACTGCTGAAGCAAGTACTGCCGCTTTCCATTGCGATGTTCGCTGACAATGGAATCGTCGACGGCGCCCCTTTCACCGCACATCTTCTTGAACTTCAAGTCTTTGCGGCTCTTGAAATTCCGAAGCTATCCATCGCCGAACTTCTGGAGAGCAAGAACCTTTGCCTTCTACTTCAGGAGGTCGCCTGATACCAGGATATTTTTAGCACTGAGCCACACAACTAGCGCTTCCCCGAGTTTTGGGTAAACACCCTGGCTCGCATTCTTCTTTCCAGCGCCGGTTGAGTTGGCAGCCACTTCCAAGATTTTTGCCTTGTTTTTGATGAAGTCCGCAACAGTTCGCTTCGAAATTCCAAACTACCTCCCCACCTCTGCCAGCGACCGACCGCGTTAGACCTGTTCAATGATGGCGGCTTTCTTCTTCATCGTGAGCCTGTAAAGGGGGCTTTGTGCGCTTCAAAGGCGCGGACGAAGACGAAAGGGCAGTCGATGCCATCGCTGTAAACGGAAAATCTGCTCGACGAAAAGCGCAGCACGAAACAGCTAGGAGCTCAGTGGACGCTAAAGGCCTGAAAACGTGATCACTAGCACGCAGCAGCAAACGATCAACCGCAGACACGACCGCAGAGCTGACAAAACAACACCTGAGGGAACACAGATTTGGCTTGGCTAAGCCGCTAAGCAACAGCTGGCAAAGGATCGACACGTGCAGTTTCAAGGTTACAGCAGCCGCGGCGCGGTGTTGCTGTTGGTGGCGGTGCTTCTTGGCCATACCAGAGATGCGAGTATGGCGAGTTCGAGGATATGAAAACAACCAAAATGGGGGTGTCGGTGGCGACTTTGAGTCGGCGGTTAACAGTAAAAAGTCCCGGAAATTTGATGCCAAAGGCTATAAGCGTTCGGAATTTCTGACTTTTTATTACATTGACTTTATGGGGAACTTGAAGGTGCCACAGATGAGTCCGATAAATCGGGCATGTCCGGAATATCAGGCGTCCGGGAAATCAGACGTCGATTGCATCCTGTCAGATGGAGTCACTACATAAACACCTTTTTCTGTGATGAACACTCATGCGATCTCTCACTCATGCATAACTATGTTGAATTCTGTGTCCAACAGACATAGAAAGCAAAGTGTGTGATTACACGGCGCGCGTCTGGAGACATGTCAAGAAAGCAGCTTTAGGGGATGCAAGAGAGTCTAACACATCCACAAAAGAGGGTTGAAGTGAGTTTCAATGCTGTAATATTTATTTGAATACTGTAGACTCTGAATAAATGGAAATCTGTTAAACCGAACTACTGCTTAAATGGAACGATCGCCTCTGCACTACTTGGTTTTGGGCTTGTATTCTGCCCCTATGTTCACCTCACAGTAGACGGAACTCCTGTTAAATGGAACATATTTTCCCAGTCCCTTCAGATTCCATTTACTGAGAGTCTACTGTATTTGAAGAAGCCTACCATTGACATGATAGCGCTAGATTACTGAAGTAAGGTGTCAAATACACATACCTTTGAAGAATTTTCAAGGGGCTTTACAATTACTTTGTTATATCAAATACATCCTTTTAAACGATTTCATTATGACAAAGCTCAACTATTATAGATATATATCCCATCACACATCAAGCCTGGGAAAAACAATGAACAGCAATCCAGGCACACTATAGCGCAAAACACACGAAGAGACCCGAGAGATGAAAGAAACACAAATGACGAGCGTTTTAACCTTCAACTGAATTAAGTACCAGTAAGCCCAACTCCGCACATTACACAGCAATCCACTTGGAAGAGGCGAAAAGAAAAAAGCTTCCCTTTTAAAGCTCACCTGCTCCGTGGAAAGGGTAGTAGTCGATGAGGAGCTTCTCCAGCAGGACCTGGAGAGCAGCACCACCTTGAAGGGGACCCCAGCTAGACCGAGTCTCTGCACATCCCAAGGATATACGTACAATCTCAAAGGATGACAACATTACTAAACTCATGCAGTTTACTGCCAATTCTTAAGTTACATCAGGAGCTGGCAATCTGCATTTAAGTGAGTTGCACACAGTTGACAGTTGGCACTGCATTTCAACCACAGCCGAGCACACCGATTCCAAGTACAAAAAAAAAAAGCCAACTAACAGTTATGACACTGCCTAAAGGGAATTTTGAGCACCACTGTTTAAGTGTTTTAATTTTGCGACAAATTGAGCCATGTCTGCCTTGCTGACCTCGAGACCACGGAAGGCCCCGCATAGGCACAGTCCACCACCGCCACAGCAGAGAGGCCTTTGTTTGACAAGCGCTTCAGTTCCACATATGGTATTGGAGGACACCTTTGCTGTTTACCTAGTGCTGACTTAAGTGGCGGCTCCACAATGGCGCGCAATATGGTGGTGCCGCGGGTTGCTACTGTGAAAGCTGTCGTTTTACCACCGTCGCTTCCTCCTTGTTATTGCAGTTTTTCATCCGCTGTGTTCACGCTTTTGTCCTTGTGTGCTCTGCTGGTGATGACGACAACGACGACGCTCAACGCAGGAAGAGGCACCCAAGCTTGTTCATCATGAACGAGCTTGTGCCACAAAAACTAGACACAAAAACTAAGAATCCACTAAAGCATTTTACAGGTCAACTCACTTTCTCATGGCAATACGTGAGAGGCATGCTTTGCTTTATCACCAGAAGCTAGAGCAGGCTTGAGTCAATGCAGACGCTAACACAGAGGCACGCTGCGCTTCGAGTTCGCTCTCTTTCATCCACGTTCACTTTATTGGTAACACTAATGACGACGCCACCACTCAGTGCAGGAACGGGTGCCTAGGAACTCCCTGTTCAGACTAACCAGTTCTACATGTCCAGACTAACCAGTTCTAGACTAACTGAAGTGACTGCCTCTTGCTGTACTTCCACACCAAATGCTGTTTCTACACAAATTAGGAATCAACCCTTAACCTCTTTTAACTACTAATTAGGGCAAATTAATCCAAATCATTCTTCTTAGATTTACGATCATAGTATGTTTGTTCCTGGAAAAAAATACCCAAGGCTGCAGAACACTTAAAGCAACATTGCTATGCGAGTGTATTATCAAATACAAGTTCTCTAATTTGAGCCCTCTGGTTTAAAAATATTCCTTAAACTTGCACATTTTAATCAATTTGTCCTTTAGATGACAATGTCTTATACAAAAAATTAAAACTGCCGGAGAAGACAGCACCTTCTTTAAACATAATAATGTTATGGCAAGCTGGTGTGGGCACTTTAAAAGCGGCATTGCTGGCCTCTGTTGTTTTCTAGTATTTTCTGGCTTAAGAAGCCTCTTCCACAGAAGTCTATTAGCACATTGACCTTAATTGCCAAACAAAAGCACCGTACACTCTAGTTTCTCACTTTAGAACCTTTAGCACTTGAACTGAGCTTCTAGCACATTCCAAGTAGGCGTCGTGGTTTTGACATGACCACAGATTACCAAAACCTACAAGACCAAAAGTTAACTTCAGAGTTCGAGTTTGGTTTCAACAGCCATGCCCGCGGTCATCTTTCACCAGCTGGCCAATCTGGTTTAAGAAGTTTTATGTCCTTCATTTATGGCTAAAGGTCTGTGCGACAAACAAAAATGCGCGACATTCACTTATCGATCAGAAAATATTTGAGAAACATAGCAGCTGAGATGCCACTGGACTCTTTCTTAACAGGCCTGACAAAGCCACAATAAATAAAAAGTCTAAATGCACACAAAAAGTCAAATGGTAAGTCATTGAACATGACTAAAAGTAAAAGTGCCAAAGTTGACCCAAATAACTGAACATCAGCATTACGTTTAAGCAATATACTTAATATGTGCAAAACTTACGGCCTCGCATGGGACCTGCAAGAGCACAGAAACATTAGCTCGCACACAGAAACATGTCGTACTGCACTACTTGTGACACTGGAACTCAAGTCAATGTTGCACGAATGAGTCCTAACTCACCCTTGGGCTCCATGTCGTCGCAAAGATGGAGATCGATGCGAGTGCAGAACATATGATATGACGTCTCGAGCACGTCGTGCTGCCTGAAGAATTCCACCAGGGGGCTCCTGGGTGTTCCTCCTGAGCCACCCCTTTGAGACGAAGCAGGGGGAGCGCCAGAAGTCGAGAAGTGGTCGGGAGTTGGTAGGGTCGAGCTGGTCACTCGGTGACGGCGCCCTTGGGCGGCCGCCTTCTTCACCAGGGCGGCCAAAGAGTGGCCCAGGTGCAAGGCTGCCACCAACTGAGCGTCAGTCAAGGCCCAGAGAAGCTCATCCAAGATTAGGACCAGGCGGCTGGAAACCAGGCTGCAGTCTGCACAATGAACAGGCAAGAGATCTTTTAGGCGAGAAAGGCTTACTTAGAAGGCCATTAACAAATTAATGTTTTACAGTACCAAAATCCCCACTGTTACCATGAGAAGACACTTGGTAAGCGAGAAAATGCACAAAAACAAAAACATCGGTGGGAAGGCCACCTTGAAGCTCCTGCGCTAATTACCATAGCATCGAAAATTTCTACACGATCCTCTACAACAGGGATTCTGAAAGTGGGTTCCATGAAGCCTAAGAGTTCCGCAGATCCCTCCTCAGGGTTTTACAGGCCACTGATGAATTTTCCTTGGTTTGCACTTGCTCATTCCACCAACCAAGATGGCGATCCCGAGGTGTTATCGATCTAGGGAACTGCCATTATTCAAGCCTGAGCATCAATGTCATGAGTAAAAGAGAGGCACTAGACGCATGCAGAATGCAGAAGCCTCACATCTCGGTGGGTAACAGAAATGTGCAAGTTGTACAATGAATCCCGCCAGCAGTTTGTACGTACTGTAGCCAGCCAGACTATGAAAATGAGTGCACGGTGGCTGAAATCTCGAAGGCCTTATATGACCACCATGCGCATGTCAACTATTTGAAGATAAATGCCACTAGCGGACGCAGAAAGTCCCAAGGTTTAAAAAAGAAAAAAGAAAGAGGATTGCGCATCACGTGAAAAAAGCTTGCAATGGAGGGGTTCCTTGGCACTTAATGTAGCTTAGCAGGGTTCCCTGGCACCAACATACTCTATAACTTGTGTCTTTCTTGACTGACTAAAGTACATTTTCATCCGAGAGAATACTTGGTTTCAGAAAATCACCTTGACCAACATTTCCAAAACATGAAAACTACAACCTGAAGTTCATGACATCCCACGCAAAGATTCCAGACAAAATTTAAGATGGTACTGAAACATTGATTTTTCCCTTCTATCGCGGAAGCAATGATGATAAAATGAATGCATCAGAGTTTTTGGAGTGAAATTGATCAATCTAAACCAATTCAGTGTTTGATTTTTGTACCCTTTTCAACAGTGACCTACGCTGAATACCAAAGGCAGATTTGGAGGACCAAACATATGCCATGCTTGAGCATTTTTCCTCTAGTAGTTCGCAGAGCAACAGCTCCTTAGCCGCAATCACAAATTGATTACAGTTGCCGAAGCAAAGAGAGATCAGAATCACTAAACGCTACATACAGGCTTTGCATTCTTTCAAACGCCAGCTCTTAAAGGGGCCCTGTTACACTTTTTGAGCATGGTCAAAAAACGCTGCCGATCAGTTGTAGAAGCTCCTGAGAACACATGAACCAAAAGTTATAGTGCAGCACGCGGCCTGTAAATCACAATAAACGATCAAAGTCACCTAAAAAAATGCTTTTTCTTCTCTCAACAAATGACGGAAGCCACCCGAAATTAACTCGCAGGAGGCCATCTGTCAGTCATTGGCTGATTTGAACATAGCGTACTCGGCCATTATAGTGATCACCGCAGAAGGCCATGACTTGTCCACGCGTGCGCGCACGATCACACACAAAAGGGCCCGTATTTGAAGAAAAAAAAAGAAAGAAGAAAGTGTTTAAGGTCACGAGGCGCGCGTGACCTTGGTCAAGACGAGAGAATGCGATTGCAGAATGCGTTCAATCTTTGTAACTCCCCTCGTACAGGGAGTTACAAAGATTGTTAAAATTTTTGCAGCGTTGAATTAGTGAGGCAATAAGCTCTTTCAGTGAATTCATTTCATTGTTACTTGAAAAAGTGTGTCAGGGCCCCTTTAAGCAACAGTTATGGTGTCAGTGTTCCAATGAACCTTGAATACGTCATTATTGTGTATGAAAAGCCATGCGATGTGCTGCATTGAATCCTCCATGTTCTTCAACATTAGTATGAAAACTTTCCCCTAATGCGAAAACATCAAGCAGGTGAACATGCAATTAGGCAGCAGAGTTGCAGTTGGCTTTGCCTACTTTTGCAGAGCAACCTTTCCTTCCGCACACTACATAGAATTCACCACAATAATAGAGAAAAATCTGGCACCACCATCTATGTGAAGTTCCAAATGGGCTCTGTGTTGGAATGGGGATCATGATATATACTTGTTTGCAAGGATTGTGTTGGTTGGCATTGCACGAGGATTCAGCTAAAAAGCAAGGATGATGCCACAAATACAGGTTTTTCAAAATAAACTTTATGAACAGATCCCACTAATCAGTTTTGCATGTAAAAACAAAATGTCACAAAATACAGGGTACAGTCGACTCTCGTTCATTCAAACTCGAGAGAACCTCTGAATTTAGTTTGAATTATCAATAAGTTTGAATTATCCGAAGTTCTCAGATATGAGAATCTGGGCTAGATAACACCATATATTATGATTATGCATTGATTTTGTCACATTAAAAATTTTTTTAGGTGTTTTTACACCTTAAATGCAGCGGATGAGCAAAAAGCAGAGGTGTTGGGTCCTCAAGTTTATTAGCCATTTACTGCTGATCAGACCTTTTAAAGGAATTGTGAAATGCCAACTGCTTTTTTGCTAAATGTGCCTTTAGCACAGACTTTTCTTTACCAGTTGAGAAGCATTACGGTTCACCATGCATGTGCTTCATTAAAACATTTGTTTATTAGCAAAGCCTGTTTCTTTGAAGGCCTAAGGCGCTCATGTGTCATTTTTAGACTGATTGGATTATATAAGCATGCACATTTTTAAATAGTAGTAGTAGAAGAGCAGATATTTTCTGGTATGGAACTGTGAAAACTATGAATTAACCAAATGATGGAGTTTAAATTAACAGCCTTCTAGACACATTGAAAGTATAGAGGGCCAACCAAACAATGGAATTCTGTTTAAACTAACTGAAAGCATGAATTATCAGAGTTTGAATTATCGCGAGTCTACTGTATAAGGAAATTATGAAAGAAAGAAATATACAACAAAAAAACTTCAAACATAAGCAGTCAAAGTTATCAATAGAGTTGCTTTTGGCCAATTCGCTAAAAAAATAATAACTCAATTAATTCATTTCAGACTCCTTCAATGCAAAATTAAAGTGAAGAACAATTATAGCCATATACAGATGCCAGTTGTCCAGGCTTTTTGTAAATGATGCCAATCCAAATTCGACATATACCAGAATTCTCGTGCGTGCAATGCATCGCAGCACCCATTTTTCTCTCCACTTAAGAGTAGAAAACTCTTCCTCACACAGTGACTGCAGCTCTGATTCCGGTATCATTCACTCTGAGGAACATGTGCCTCATGCCCACATTCTGCTATGGGAACAAACTTTCCAATGAAAAACAGGAAGACTGGGTACAACTGTGCCATTGTAAGCAAACATCAATAACTAAGTTGCTTGAGCTACAGCAACATTAGAGTAGAAGCAAACCTCGTTAATTCGAACTCGGTTATTTCAAAATCCCATTTAATTTGAAAAATTTCCGTGGTTCCATATTTTGCAATGTAAGTTTGAGTGGATAATTTGAAGCGGCAAACAGCATCATTCCGGTCAATTCGAAAACTTTGGCTGCAATGTGCCAGTTTCAAAATCCAATTTTGCCACAAATCTGCCAAAACAATGGCCCTTAATAGCCACAAGGCAATATAACATAGCGATACTAACGAGTGGTAGCTGAAACACCCTAGCCTCGCTATATCCAGCGGGAAAACCTCCGATTGTCGGTTGCTCCAGCTATTTGCCCCTTTGCACTGCTGGCGGAGTTCGTGCCAGCAACACCTACTTCGAAAACTAAGTTCGAAAGTTTCAAAAGACCATTTTTTCCAGCCAGAACAAATCGCGAATTTGTAATACTGGTCATCAATAAATTCCTAACTATACCAGAAAGAATGTGCGAATGGTCGCATCATAACGTGCTGACGCAACGAGGTGCAAGCGACAAGCTGCCCGAGTGTCACTACAGTGTTGCAGTGAAGACGTCTTGCTTTCTGTAGGTGTACATATTAGTTAATCTTGACATTGTTTTTTTTTTTTTTTTCAGCGGCAGCAGTGAGGCTCACTGTTCCCTCTTGTTTGCGGCAAAATTAAGACCAGTATTGCTGGAAAACATAACCTTTGGAGCCTCAAGCTAGCCGGCACAACAAACGACGAGCACTGATTAGAAGTGTGGCAGCTTGGGCTAGTTGGTATGACATGATGATAGTTGTAGCGCGAGCACAGGACGACGACAAAAAGACAAGAAGGACATGAAGAACATGAGTCAGCGCTCGTGTCCTTCGTGTCTTTCTTGTCTCTTTGCCGTTGTCCTGTTCTCGTGCTATAACTATCGTCAGCACTCATTACTTTTAACAGTTCTAAGCTCCTTGCATCCCACTTTTTGAATGTTCTGTTAATTCGAAAACCCACTTAATTCAAAGATTTTTCACGGCCACAGTGACCTCAAATTAAGAAGGTTTTACTGTACATTATATACAAGCCACATTTTTTAAATATATTTTTTGAAAAATATTCACAGAATATATTCAAGAAAAAATTTCCTGAGACTTGTTAGTCAACTCTCCGGCTTCAACCGAACATGTTGGGGGTAACCTACGATGTCACAGCAAGTTTGTGTACAATCTATATGCTAGCAGCATCACCAGCTGTACTTTATGAAATCCCTGGCAAAAAGAAGGGAGGTGCAATTCTACGAAAGCCATTTTTAAATTGCAATGCCTAATAGTTGCAGTGGTGAATGTCATCAACTGCATCTTGGGGCTAACATATTTGGCCCGTTCATAAGTGAGTCAAAAGCTCAATTCTTTGCTACCTCTGAAGAAACGGTAAGCAGATAAAGTAAACTCTTCACATGTTTGAGTACACACATGCTTTTTGCCTCAACATCCAAGATAAACAATTTCAAATTTCCAAAATAGACTAAGAAACAAGTTCACTGCACATACAATAGTGAGCTCTGTCAGACGAAGTCAGCTGATGAAAACGGGGAATATAATTCGAGACAATACACTAAGCGGATGTCGATGACAGTGACACTGACCAGCGAGGCGCTTCTTGAGCACAATGCGGCAGCGTGCCCCGTTGGTGATGAGGCGCAGTGGTGCCCCTGCATATGCTCCTCGGGCATGTGCCTCCAGTCGCATCATCTGCCACTGGAGTTGTCGGAAAAGCAGCAGCTGGTCGGGACCCTTGATTCGACAGAGACGTAAGTCCCCAGGGTCCCAGCGAGGCGTTCGACTGTCCAGCACCACCCGGGACAGCTAGGCAGAAACAGCGGGACATAACAAAGAAGTAAGGCACAGATTTGGCACGCTCCATTTCAAGAAAACCGCAGCTACACCTGAAGCAAAAAAGTGCCACACTAACTATTAATTATCCTGCAGTTTGACACTGTAAAATGGCTGCAGATATTTCTTTTCCTGGGGTCAATTTTCCAGGCATAGACCATACATGAATTTTCAATAAATAAATGTATAATTCAAAGTGAGAGATTTTCTGGATGATTACATCAATGCCAAAGGTTGCTCACAATACACTAAGCAATTGTTTACAGAGCTGTTTTCATGAATGATGCTATCGCGATTTTTTTTTTCATTGCTAGCAGCCATAATCCATTGCATGCAGCATCATCTGAATGCAATCTCGAACTAGCAAACACCTACAGACCAAGGGGTGCAGTAAAAGAGTAAGCACTTCGACAGCCTCAATATCTCTTCATGATTTTCATAGCTTCTACTGAACATTCTGCATTGATTGCTTGCCGATGCTACAGAGCCCCGAAGGCCACTGCGTAGTAAGCCTGGCAATGGCGGGCTCGCTTGTATTCAGTCGATTAGTACACAGACACAAAAGCGTTCTTTATAACACCCTTTTTTGTTTTTTCTTAGGAGTATAACCTGTCTGCTGCGCCTTAGCCATGCTCTAGAGTTCCGTTGGTAACGAAGCTTTTTTAAAACAATGCAGTGTTAATGTACTTCGCTGTCTCTGCTATTGCAACAAGGCAACAAAGACTAAAGTCAAGTGGCTCGGGCCTGAATTTGCCATGAACCACTAAGCGACCATCAATGTTACACGACAAACAAGCAACAAGGATCTGGCAAAATATGAAGCAGCTGAGCTGTACGGCGTAGTTAGCACAAATTCATACATTGTCCAAATAATAAAGCATAAAAATAAAGATTCAGATATGGTGTGGGTGCATGCCAAGTGGCACTAAATGCTCAACTGGTGTGGTATACCAACCTGAAATGAAGCAACAAACGAAGCAGACTGGAAGTTCACCACTACAGAGTTGACAACCACTTTCATGCCGTCGACGACACGATCTGAAAAGCCATAGCGGCCTCCCGAGCTGCACAAAAAAGAGACACACATAATTGCAGAATGACTGCGGATTCTCTGAACAGTGCCACAGATGCTGAACGGTATGCTTTTTAACTTTAAATTCTGTACACTTTATGAACACAGCAAACATTCAGCACTTCACATCCCTGTGTAAAGACGAGAGCTGCATGCTAGTTTTCGTGTAAATCCCACCTCCATTGACATTTCTATAGAAATAATAAAAATGACTGTGTTTTATGTGCAAGCAGTAAAAAAAGAAATAAAAGTAATTAGCTTGGGGCTCACTTGGTCAAACACTAATCCTTCCTATTTAAACTAGATTTAAAGTCAACAAAACACGCAATAAGGTACACATAAAGACAAGCCAAATTCCTACTTTCACAATTCATCTGCACGTAAGTAGATCGAAAGTTAACCCTCAGAAGTTTCGTCTCTGCTACACCAGACAAACTCACATTCACTAACGTAGTTCAGGTGACTGCAGCCTATCGCAGATGCACTTGGATTTGACTAATACAGGGCTCAGATTTAAACTCGATGGTGGAATCAGTCTCTGATGGAACACTGACAGGGTCCCTAACACATTTGCATAAGACGACTCAAAAGTTAAAATCGTCATGACTATCATCATTATCAGAGCTAGAGAGGTCAGGTTAGTTCTTGTATAGCGTACTAGAATATGAGATAGTGTGTTCAGGGAGCAGCCGTGGCTGCCGCAGTTGGTGTCGACAGCCCCGAGATGGCACCACCTTAGCATGGACTGTCACCTCACGCATTGCCCTACATGCACTTCAGTGCTTTGATACTAGTAATAGCAGAGGTTTAACGTCCCGAAAACACCATACGGTCATGAGAGACACTGTACAGGAGTGCTCTGAAAATTCAGCCACCTGGGGTGCTTTAACGTGCACCTAAATCTAAGTACACACACCTCAGAATTTGCACCTTCACCGAAAATGCAGCCGCCGCGGCCGGGATTTGATCCCGTGATATGCGCTTGCATACATCGCGCTTAATAGTCTTGTGTTTAATTGCTGACACGTTTGCGAAAAGCTTTCTGAATGGGTGTGTTTGTACTGCATTCAAAACAAAACGAAATGTCAAAGCTGCAACGCACGGTCCGAATACAGGTATTAACAAAACGACGGCGAAGCAGTCATCCCAGGGGAAACTGCCTACAGTTTTTAAAGCTCGGTTGGTGAACGAATAAAAAATTAGGAAGGTTGAGGTATCGAAAGAGCACCTACAAACCCGGAAGTTTATTGTTATATTACTGCTATATCGTTTTGTAGTATGCACACTGCGACAGCTTCGACTTCATTATGGGCGCGGCACCGTTCTTGTCGATAGTTGCATCATGCAATTGTAATTATGTGGCTATGGTGACAAAAATGCCATTTGATTGAGAGGCACGTCGTAGCTAAAGACTTGGGAATAATTTTGAGAATCTTTGGTCCTTAAACAGTTACGTGCCCGCCACAATACTGCTGCTGTGGCTGGGATATTGCCCTGTACAGTCAAAACCACTGTCCAACTGTAAGAAGAAACTATTTACGAGCGCGCATACTGCAGTGAGCAGTAACGCTGATCAAATTTGTCCCCATTCCATGAAATCATCAGTTCACGATCACTTCATCACAGTGGCATCTATATGAACAACGACAGATTTTTGCTTGCAGCTTTTTTTTTGTTTTTTTTTCTTCTCAAGACTCGTTAACACCCTTCACGAAAAAATGAAGTCATGACAGCACGTAAATTACCGCTTTCTTTGACACGAGATGCAGTGCGATTTAGCTCATATAAATTGAAGGTAAACAAAGCTTGAGTAAGCATTCCAGCAAAGCTGCAGTCTCTGTAGTGTTCGCCACCTCGGGTTCGTAGTCAGCAGGAAGGTCCGTCGATGAATCTGAATCAGTGGCCCCACCCTCAACACAGGGTGCTGCAGTTTTCTTGGAGCTGGAAGATTCGACCGCCCAGTTCTTCCGCTTTTTCGGTGGTCTTGGATGCAGCGCTTTCTTTGATAAGTAGCTTGGAGCATTTGACAGTAACATTGGCACGGCATCTGGCGTTAGCTCTGGTCTCCTACGTGATACGTGAACTTCCTCGCCGTTTATAACGTGCAAGTAGTCTCCGTGAACACATGAAGGCTCGAAGTGTTGTTCATATACAGAGCAGCTTTCGTTCAAGGTCCCATCCTTTCGATGTAAATTCTGTTCCTAAACCTTCCTCTGTGCTCCGTTTTTGGGTGCAGCGAAAAGCGACGGCTGCTCACCTTTTTTTCCAATGGTGTAACCTGTTTTGCACCTATGTGCAAAGCAGTGTCGTTACTCCGATGACTCGGCATTGCCTCACTGTCGCGTGGCCAGCAAAAACATTGCCAGAAAAACTTTCGTTAAGCGGGCGCGAACACAAGCAACAGGTCACTGAACAGCACCGGAGAAGGCAGAGCGGCGCGATGCTGACAATTCTGACAGCCCATGCTACGGCAGCGCCGCCTTGAGAACCGGTTTTTTGTCCACGTGCGCTGCTTCACACGACACAAGGCGAGAGAGGGTGCCTGAACACACTACCCCATATTCTAGTACACTATAGTTCATGTTCCACATGCCACGTTTTCAAGGCTGGCATCTTTGTTCATGTTGTGCTTGCTGACTATACTGAATTACACCTCGACTGTCAATGATTCACTGATTACACATTTTGAGTGGTGTAGGCGATGCAGCTCCACGCTTCTGCTGGGAAATACTATACCTGTTAAGTCACTGCTCACCAGACAAACCCCTATGTAGAGTCTTCTTCCAAAGCAGCTTCAAGCACTGGTATCGCTCTGTGGTTGAATGCTCAGCTGGCACACAGAAACCTAGGTTCGACTTCGACACAAACCCAGATTTTCATTAAGGTCACGTGAGTTCTCGTACCACAAACCAGATTTCAAGGCCAGCATCAGAGGCTTTTGCCTAAATAAATTAAGAGGCTTCAACTCACAGGGAAAGCATACATCAATTAGCCATCTTGACTAAGTTTCGGATCTTCTTGGAACTGACCTATAGCTGGGCTTGCTGCTCGAAGGTGGCCTGAGTTGCTCACAGGTTTCCACTTCAACCAGCACTTCGTCCAAACACTGAAAGCAGTAATTGCACGGGTAACTTTATGCAGTGTGCCAACCAACAGTTCAGCATGCCAAAAGTGTACAATGGCAAACTCAAGTTTTAAATTAAATATAGGGAGAATTTAAAAATGTAATGCTATGAAACAATCAAATACAATTGGATGTATAATGGTGAAAATAAACTTCAGAGGACTTTTTTTTTTCTGCAATCACTATCAATGTCACCTTTGTAAGCTACAGTATTTTCTGATGTCATATCTGCAATGCATGTATGGATGCCACAGTCTCGGATAATACACTGATTCTCAAAACACCACGCACGTTAGAAGCGTGAAAGTTAAAAAGAAAATGAGCAAGCAGCCTGTATTTTGCCCGTAATTTAAAGATTATAGTTTTGATCCCCACCAATGGCAAGCTCTTATGCACACTATAATTTCTGTAACGTTATAATCGGAAAACTTCCATTAAAAAGAACAACCAATAATGCTCTACCACACTTTCCTTCACTTCATTCTTTGCTGGTTTCATAAACGTGAACATTGTGCGCTAAGCAGTAAGTTCACCAGTGTAAAAATACAGTAACTGCACTAAAAGCCATAAATTATATCCCTATTATTTGGACAATCTGATAACTAGGACAAGTTCTCAAATTACAGTCAGCATAAGAAATATTTTATGGCCCTGAACTCTCATAAATTCAGTTGGATTTAGCCACAACCGTGTTAATTTAGATGATCCTAGGCATCTACCGATGTCTAAAGCCAAGGAGCAAAAATAGGAGGACTGCCAGTTGGGCATGTTGGTAAAGGTTCATGATGAAACAAGTGCAAAAATACACACACTCACTCAGAAAGGACACAGACAAGCGCTTGTCTGTGTCCTTTCTGAGTGTGTGTATTTTTGCACTTGTTTCATCATGAGCAAAAATAGACCTGCCACCCACTGAAAGGACCATGTGCTTTTGCCACCATAAATTTGTGATTGTCATTCATGATTGTGCATCAGCAAGCCAGGTTTTTTTATCAGAAGATTCAGTGCTCAGTTTTGTTTCTACTATGGGCATAGGTCCCACCAGTGGGTTCTAAACTGCATGGTAGCTATGATCGTGTCTTTACCTCCTACCGTTTTTTCCACAGAGGATGTGGTGCCAAATGACTTTTGGGCAGTGCACACTATGTCATAAAACTCAAATAATGGAAACCCTTGACCACGGAGAGCTTCAGCTGCGATTAGCATGATAGTACAAGCTTTCTCGGCAGTAATGTGATAGATGAACAGCAAGTCGCCGGCCATTTTTACAGCAGAAAAAATTTACCATCCTATGCGCGTGGTGGTGTTGGTGGTGGCAGTGCTTAATAAAGCATGGGCTCACAGCACGTGTTGAGCTTTCCAGCAATGCTTCCTCTGTTTTGTCAATGCCAGCCAGATGTGCCCAATCCAGCCATTCACCATCTTTGCCTCTAGCCTATTCCTGTTCTCTCCCATCGCCTAGCCTTCGCGTGTTCTTGGCAGTCGTCAGGGAAGGAGCCCTTCATGCAGTGCCTCATGACGAAAATGATATGAAGTAATTTTTTGTTCAGTTGAGTACAGATCCATGGGACAGCATCTTGCAGTCCTTGTGTTTTCAATATTAACGGTCACACAGGCTCTGTGAAAGATACAGTGTTTTGAGATAGCGAGCTGCCGTCCGTGGCGCTATACGAGCAACCAATAGGGTTGCTGCAACGATTCTGCATGCACTGCTCTGTGACGCGGCGGCAGCATTGCTTCCAGCCACAAAGAAAAAGCATGAAGGAACAAATCTCTCAGACATACGACATTGCAGTGGGAAACACGTCTATCGCATCTGCAGGGGAAAGCGCTCGAAAGCACGCATAATGCAAGCAGCACTACCCATCATGTAGCGTCACATCCCGACCACTCTCTGAACTAAGGCGGACCGACAGCTCCCGTCGAGAAGTGCGCGTTAGCACTGGAATTGAAAGAAATTGAGGAGGCATTGTTTTCAGCCATGGTCACATTGTGAATGTACTCGCCAATGACAAGAATTACGACTTTTGCACTACTTTTGTGCAAAATAATTGGTGGATTTAGATACTCAATGAAAAAATGGAGGGGCATCATGCATTAGACACTTGTTTATTGTTTTCTGCAATAGACACTCGTTTATTGTTTTCTTCATATTTATTATAATAGTTCAGAACTCGGTTACCTTGAAACTTTTTTTTCCAATCTTGTGAATCACGTGATGTTACTGTAACTCCAGGGCAAAAGCTGCTTGACGGGTCCATACTCTAATTCATCAACCACACACACACACACCACTATGACACGTACAATATTACATGTTTCCAGCTGCTCAAATGCCTGCGGCATGAGAGTTCTAATTAGGAACAAAATACAGTAGACTGGTATATTGAAGAAGAAAATGATTCATGGTAATCAATGCGAATGCCTTTGACACGTAAAGTACAAGTAGAATCCTTATTACATATCACGAGCAAGTACTATACGTGTGATGAGACGCAATTAGACAAAATACTGAGCTTCTTGCCCCCTAAAATTTGTTTCGTTCCACTGACAACAGTTTTGATGCTCCGGCTACCAATTGAAAAAAAAATCCAATTTTCATCATCTTCGATCTTTGATCCGCCTATCACAAGACAACTAATATTTTTCACAGAATACTTCGTCCTGCCAGACCGACTTAGTGTTTCCGTTTATGGTCTTTTCATGTTCCACACACCAAATTGTTGGCATTGATGCATGTTACTTTGCCAAAATGCAGTAAGATTCACGAGTAATTGAATAGGAAGAGCAAAAGAAAAAGACTCACCAAGTGGATAGGAACATATTTTAACTTTGTCCAATGTATCTGCAACAGATGAACCAAGAAGTAACAGAAATACGACATTAGCACATTTCCCTCCATTTAGCATGCTGCAATACATAACTTACACTCTCCACCAAAAACTCGACTTTCCCTTCGGATCAGAGATAACAACAATCATAGCACCTTTCACCGGTACTATCATTGATCTAGAAAGCCAAGCACGGTCAGGTTCTAATATCTCAGTTCCACTTTCACTGCATATGCGCTGTATGCTGGGTTCTTTAATTTTGGCTTGTACATTTTTTTCAAGTGCAGGGCGTAAAAGTCGAGTGCTATTTTTCAAGCTGATAATCCGGAAGGGGTCAGGTTTTTGTAGAAGCATTCCAAAATTGAGATTTTCTCAAATGAAACTTACAAATGTTCCAAGTAACAAATTTGCAAAAATTTCTAAGTATACCAAAGACAACTATGAGCTAGGCACACTCATTGTGGGATTGGTTGAGAGCCGTGAAGCATTCACAGCTTTTAAAATGAACTATGGGGCAGTGGTGAACTATAGGCCAGAGGCGTTTAAAGTCCAACAGCACCTTAAATTCGTTGTCCCGAGGCAGAGCAGCTCGAAGGTATTCAAAAGTTATGATTTCTTATATTCAGCGAACTCCAGAGAAACATTCCGCTCTTTTTTTTTAACAGGAAGTTGCTATGAGAAAAACTGCTTTTAAGCCAGAAGACCTTCTAAGAAAACTATAATATTAACTATAATATATTATTTATTTATTTATTCAACAATACTACCAATTCCATTCGAGATGATTGTAGGAGGAACACATGTTAAAGTGTCACATGAAAATCATAAAGAGAGTACAAAACAAAAATTGCATTGTACACTAAAAATTAGTTTCAACTAGATTATGTCGTCACTGCTGCAATACCCATACAATAGCGTCTGGAAAAAGCCGCAATGCACAATCGAATATGCACAATGGGATATATTTTCCAAATTACAAAGAAATTAAAAGGTATTTTGAGAACTTTGGTCTACCTTGTGTCATTAAAATTAACTGACATCAACAGCAGTAGCAAATGAGGTCCTGCATACATGAATGTTTTGTTTGTATTTGTGTGAAATAATCGAGAAACTATCCACTTGCAAATCAGCACCTGCTGTGTGCACTGCTAATATTTCGGTCCTCGTTTCTATAAAGGGACACAATAAAAAAGGATAATTTTTCGTGCGTTAGTAAATTACTATTTCATGATTAAAAACACCATTCTTATCATGAGAAGATGTTTTGTAAGCAAGAAAGTGCACGCAAAGAAAATGTGGATGATGACATCACTTTGAAATTCCAACAAAAAACACCCAGACATTCTACATTTTGACGGTGCCTACTAGGTCTTACATTGTTCCTAATTGGTAAATATTTGAAATAAATTGTCCAGCGAGGGGGCCACAAACTTGACATAGCAAGTTTAAGGAGATTTCATTGAGCTTATGTTGCAAAAATATGAAAAATTCACTTTGAAATTTGTGATAGCACAAGCTGAAATTTCGGCACTAAATTTACAATAAAATTTTCACCTCGATATTGGTCTTTAATACCAGACCTACGGTAGTAAAATTAATGACACCAGATTTCAGTCTAAGCAAATTCAGTGATTTACTTGAGTGTCCCTTTTGGCACAGTATTAGTTTAAGAAACTTATGATATTGTGGTCTGTGTTAGCTTCCGTCAGGGCAAACAGAGTGGCACGGGTGTAGCACCTTGAGAGTGAGATAGTTGCAGACAGCCCGTGTGAGGCAGAGCCACGTGGGCAGTTCAAGCAGCTCGGTGAGAACCTGCTCATCGAGCTCCAGGTGGCGCAGCTCGCAGTGGCCTCGAAGAGTGCTCAGCTGGATTTTGTCCAGCGACAGGTTCTTGGTGAACCTGCAAGCAACAACAACAAAAAGATGAGTAGTTGCTTTTAAGCACCACTAAGAAGTCAACACGTTCAAATACACATTGCCTTATAACCATGAGAGTACACCAAGTAGGTAATGACACTGGAGCTCAAGTCCAAGCAATAAATTCTGGAGTTTTATATACCAAAACTACGACATGACTAAAAGGCATGTCAAAGGATGGACCTCAGATTTATTGTGATGACCTGGAGTTGCTTGATCATGTGCACCAAAGTTCCAGTACACTGGTGTCTTTGTGCAATAACTCTTGAGACACATTAAACTACTCCTGAAATTAATACCAGATACAACAGTCTCCCATTGCCACATTGTGCCTGCCTGAAGGAATTTACATAAGTTTTGTGGGGCTTGTTGAAAGCATGCTAAATGTGAGGCCCACATTGATTTCCATTTTTTGGTAACACAAATGCATGAATTTGAAAAAAAAAATTGAAAAATAATTTTCGAGGCTCAACTCAACGCGGAAAATATAGTAGCACCAAATTGAACGAACTTCAAAAGCCTCTAGCTTTCAATGTTATGCCTGCTAAAACTGTAAGAGAGGTACTATTGTAGAACCAAGATATATTGAAGCGCACCTAACATGCTTCATTTTATGTACATAATAACATATGTTTATCACTAAAACTATCAGTGAACATTGAGTGTCTATAAGGATCATAAAGGCTTGAGCACAAACAAAGATTTGCGAAATGGACAGCAGACAATGACAAGTAAGCTTTAAGCAATGTAAAGCTTTTCACCGAAGTATATAAAAACATGGGGCGTACCTAAATATTGCATTTAACTGGGCTAACATTTTGCACATTTATATGAAGAGCTCAAATCTTCTCAGATTTGCAATGAACAAATAACTCTCAATGCCATCTGGCAAACAAATACTTCGTTTTGCTAGAACGGCCTAGCAAAACATTGTTTAACATACGCATTTTGGGTTGCTGGAATTCTAACACTCCCCAAATATTTCCCTTCTGATTGCATAAAATTTCATCCTTGTAACGTACACTTTATAACACACAAAGCCTAGAGTATTTGTTCTCTCATGCTAAAGCTGTCCACTAAGCTTGTCAATGCCAACCCTACAGCCTTCAGTATGAACCACCTTTAATGATTTTATAGAGAAAGGCTGGCTACAATTTCATATAACCATTTTCGCACACACGTGAATGAAAAATCACATGTACAAAACCAGAAGTCATAAGAAACGGTGCATCTTGAAAATCACAACGGAGGAAGCTACTGTTAAGCAACCTAATTTGATAGCCTAATGCAGGATTCTCAAACATGTGGCCCACTGACCTTTCACTAGTGGCCCACTCTCACACATGATAGTCATCTTCCTAAACTTTTTCTTATGACTGTGTAGCTGTTTATGATATCGCTAAATGGTGGTCACATTCTCGCATATCATGAATAATAACCCTTTGTTCGGGTACACTTGAGGAACTGTATACTAAAATCTACATTTTATTTATTTTCGACTGTGCAGACTGGTATGAATATATTTCTCATTCCCCACATCAACTACATGTCAGAAATGATCCATATATGAGATGTGGGTTAAGCTTTCCTTTAACATTCAGCTTAGCTTTGTTCAGGCTCATCACCCCAACCTTCTCAATTTCCAAATTTTTGCTGTCCAAGCTCTCCTGAACTAGATTGGCGATTGTGGTCCGGTACTTGATGCAAGTTTAAGACCCCTAATCCAATGCCTGTAACAGTTTTGCTTGACAATACATCAAAGTAATTTATCTTTTCATCCATCAGTTATAGCCCTGTAGCTTAAAGGTAGCCACTCTGAATAACATCAAACGTGAAGCGAAAATTAGAACTGCACACAGAATTAATTTGTTGTTTTTCTATTATTTGTGTAATAGCTGTAAAGGTCAATGCATTCTTTTTTCTTCGTTACCTACCACAAAACATGCCACTTCCTCTACCGGATGCCATCAGTAAAAAAACCAACCCGTCAACTTAGGGCAAATTGAACCATTGGCCTGCAATCTGTAGCTGATTGTGCTCTGCTATTGTCAATAGCCAACACCAGTGTCGTAGATAGTATTCACAAAGCATTTGCTCAGCGTGCCTCAATACAGCTGACTTGTCATACCAGAGATGCCATCGTCTGACTTGTCATACCAGAGGTGCTGGTTGAGACACCACAAAATGATGGCAGTTAGGCTGTCTCTGAAGTTAGCCTCAGAAGATTGATATGGTACACTGCCGTATTAAAAAAAACATTTGATTGTGCACACTCAGATTACATGTGCCCCAGTTTCTAATTACCATGGCCATGACAGTTATAAAATTGAAAACTATAAGTACCTTCAAACTGCATGGCTAACTGAGGTCTAGGAGGATACTATGAATATTCTTGTAATATATCAGTCTATCTGAATGTATATATACACAGTAAAACTATGCTGTATTCAGTTACTTTGTAAATAGAGAGAATTAAATGCAATGCTACATTCGCCACATACGAAGATATTTCACGAAGACAAAATATGTAACATTTACAATTTTGTACTTCATTTCATGCTTTAACATGAAAAATAAATAGACACCCTTTCAGAGTTCATAATGGCACACCTACACATATACAAAGAACTTTTTCATCCAACTGACATTTGCAAGAAACTTTCTTTTCTCCTGTAAACAATGCACTCAGCTTGCAACCAGTCTTGCAGAACATGTGCATTGTAAACTTCAGCAACAGTCTTAAGGTAGCAATACCTTTATTTATAAAAACGTCTTTTTTTTATCCCCCTTAGTTTCCAACCATTTTTTTTTTTTTCTGGGAACCAGACCCTGCACTTTTCTATCCAGTACAAGTACCTTAATAAATGCATTCATGGAGACTTCACAATAGCGGAGTATTTTTGAAACATGCACGCTCCTTATTCTTCACTGTGTACAATGCGTCATGTTTCTGAACGTACGCTGCCATGTGGAAAGTTTTGCAATGCCAGATATAAAAATTGTACCCATTTTTGCAAACTACTGTTTCCTCTTGGGAATGCTGTGCAGTATTCGAGGCTTAAAATTGCAAATGTGTATCGCAAGATTGGACGGCTAATCTGCATTTTCAGACTTGTGCGCCCGAACTATTGGGCACTACAGTTGACGAAACAAACAGCGTAATTCTAAAGGGCTCAGGCAAGTGGTTCACGCTACCACTACAATGCTCCCACCTAAAACAAGGCATCGATACAGTAAACACTGCCTCATAAAAATAAAATGACAAAAATACATAATTCTTTTGTAGTCCTAATTATATCATGCCCTTTGCAATCTCAGATATCTCATAAATGAGGCCTCCAAGGACAGAATCTCCAAAATATCTAAGAGGCAAAAAAAAACAGCCACTGAGGCGCATCTGTCTACAGTAGTTGCTGAACAGCTCAGAAATACAGAAAGCAGTGAGGAAAACCACACCGAGTCTATGTTAAAGACAGTGCAACTATGGAGGTGCATGAACACGTTTAAAGAAATATCCATTCAAGAAACCTATTCGCACTACTTTTGGTTTACCTCTTTGTACAGCTGTATACACCAGCCTTTATTCGTTATTGAACTATATTTGTCACTGTTTCACAGGAGTGTGTTTTCTGTCATGCTTATTGCAAGCGAGCTTTTCATTTGTAACGCTAAGTTATTTATTTCAAGCATAATATTTAAATGTTAACTAGCTAGTGTGCTACTGAGCTACTCACCACAGCTTTCTTTATGAAAAGGCATTACCTTACATTAAATATTAGACATGAGAACAATGTTCAATGTCACACTTTGTGTAATATCCTTACTATTGCATCAAACATCGGACTCTCACAACAAGATTCAAATGTAAATTATGTATATTTCCTATAGATTTTCATCGATAAAATTCTTGCAAAAAGCCAGTGGGATGCAACAGCACCTGTTTAAAAAAAAAGCTATTTTCAGCCTGCAGCCAGCTACCTTTATCACTGAAATATAGTATTTAATTATTACAGCAAGCCACCATGGCATGTAGGAAAAACCATAAAAATTCCGCAAAGAAACTTGCAGCAAAATACCAGCTACTCATTAAGTTAGATAACACTGAACTTCACCAAATAGTAGAGAACGGCACCAAGACAATGCATTGGCGTCATGATTACATAGGCATCATGTTTGACTCTAGCGTAAACTACACAACTCAATTTCTTCAATACAAAGTTTTGCACCCAAGACATTGTACTTTATTCATCAGAACAGCACCTAAATCTGCTGGCATAAGTACTTTGAATACTCATATAGCAGCTTCTGAAAGGTTTTCTCAATGTTTTATACATCATGATCTGGCAAAACTAGGTGAATAAATGATCGAAGTACTCACCTGATCATCCTCCAACCATTTCACCCTACTTCAAGTAAATTTGGTTAGACAGTAGTTATTGCATCTTCTGAACTGTGCAAATTGTGGAAGTACATGAAGGAGAACAAAAGTTCCTGCGAGTTTTCTTCAACCCCCGACCAACAACCGCCCCGACCACCATATCACAACAGAACTAAAACAGAAAACTAAAAAATTATATTTTTGACCGGAATGATTACCCCAACCGAAACATGATAAATCATTTCGTTTTGGAATGAAAGCAAATTTTTTTTAATCGTTTTTCATTTCATGAAAAAACTTGGCACTGAGGTGATGATGATGATGTTTGATGTTTTGTGGCGCAAGGGCCATTTCACGGCCAAAGAGCGCCACTTCATCTTACTAAAAAATATGGACAATGATTGTGATAAGCGGCTGTAAAAGGGCCATAAAATTCCTCGTGGTAAGGCGGCTAAAAACATACAAGTATTAAAATCATGACCATGCCGTGAAAAGTGAGTGTGGTATGAATGGGTGACAAAAGTTGGTGACAAAAAACGATGGTGGACATGTATGGCATTAGCACAAGTGCCTCACTCATTCACACCCTTGCGTCCAAGGGACGT